TTCCTGCTCCTGTTTGACAATCTGTGCCTTGCTTCCAAAAAAATTGATTACTACTATCAGCAACACTAAGATCATAATACCCCTGGGTAGCTGGGGTGGAAATGAGCAACTAGGGATGGGCTGGAGGCAGTAACCTGTTATTCCTGGTCTGTTACAACCACCTGACTATTGTGTTCGGAGGTTCCAGTGCTTTATCAGGGTGAGAACAGTGTACACAAGAGTTGGGGGCAAGTATTTTTTCCTTTAGCAGTGTAGATATTTGTATAACTGTTCTTGTTACACAATAAACATGAAATTGTAAGAAAATAATAACATGGGACTGAATACATCTGGATATACCTCCTTTAAACCAACATCAAATCACCCTTTCTTGCCCTCCAAGAAACCCTTCACACTTAAAGAGGTAGCTTAGGTACAAGCAATACATTCTAGAATTATTTTTAAGGCAAGATGGATCATGATAATAAAGATATATTAAAATTCCTACACAAACTCACAATTCCACGAGGTTTGGAAGCTTCTGTGCAAGGTTTTCTGGCTGAAAAAGAGTTAGACATTTTTTAGGTTTCAAAACAGAACACAGACACACACACACATATATTGTGTACCCAACTCATTTTAATAACCATATGAAAGCACATCAGCAGCTACTCACAGAAAAAATGGCAACAAGGAGCTTGAATACAATATCCTATTTCCACACCCCTGCACATTCTCCATCAGCGCAATCTGGGATATAGCAAAGATGAGCAAACAGAACTACAGCCTCGAAGTGACATTAACATATTGTCAACTAAATGGTATTCAGACTTCTGAGGTTGAAAAGATCGATTACCAAAACTTCACTTTTGAAATATATTGAGTGAGTTGAAGCCAAGAGACAACTAAGAATCTGCAGCCTTTACAGACTTAAAGCAGAATAAGAACTATACAAGATGTCTAACCACAATGTATTTTATTTTGTAATGCTGCTAAACTGGGAAGTGACCTACAAACTTTGTGTAGCTTTACCTATTACCACCAAGACAAAAGTGCTGAATTCAAACTAGATTTGCATATTTGCACATTAACATGCATATCATTTTCTAACTGCTAACTGATCTCTAGCTGCAGTTCTTTTTCTTGATGGCATTTATAATCATGAATATATATCACAAGATCAGCTTCACAAATTTTACATGTCATATTGTAACCATACTCAAAATTATTCATGGTTAAGAGTTTTATCGTGTAAGAAATCTATTTAAACATAGATAGGTTTTACTTGAAGCTTTTACAATACACGTATTGAGAAACAAATTAATCTTAACAGCAGCTCAATCACAAGGTTAATTTTGTGTTAAAAAAACTAGCAGTTTTCCCTGTCTTGTAAATTTAAAGTGTATCATTATCTAAAATACGTAGTGTTTACAAATTTATTATGAAGGAATAGGCTAACCTGAAGAAGTAAAATCATAATATTCCTATGTAGCAAACATGCCACATCTTAGGTCTGAGTACAAAAAGGAGTTTAACTACGGAGCAGCAAATGATGGCTCAATAAATTAATCTGTTGACGTCAAGACCCAAGAAACAGGCTGTAACTGACCAGCTGTTGCCACCTACTGGAAGGTTTCCTACAGTACATTGATCTTCTCTGCACAGAATCTTACCTGGTCAAAGAGAAAAGCTTTAGCTAAGAAAATATGCAAAGACTGCAACGTAGTCAAGCACAAAAAGTTGAAGCTTTAATTTAATAAGAGGGAATGTTAAAAAACAAATTCACTGTCATCCTGTTAAAATAAGGATACTAACGTGAATCCCAAACTATTTTCACATTATACTCTTGCTTTAACTGCTTCATATTTTAAGAGAGCAAAACTCAAGACAGAGACAACTTCACAGTTTAGCAAGCCTGTAACAGAAATTCTGCTTATCTTCTTGAATACCACAATAACAATGGGTCTGAGTCAAAGTTGTGCAATACAACAACCTACGACAAAACTGTTCGTGATCCACAAACTGAGAGGTAAAACTAACTCTGGTCTCTACTGCTGACATGACAACAAACAATGACGAGAAATGAATCACCAATTCTGCCACCAGTTTAGTGAAGCTTGTCTTGTCCTCACACCCACTGGATACTTCTCAGAAAGTGAACTTGCTGATGTGTCTAATCAGGAAAGCATCACACATTCCGAGTCAGTAAATTAAGAACAATTGTTCTTTGATATCACTAGATCATGCTTCTCACAGTCCCATCAAGGCAAACACATATTTCCTTTTAATAGATAGGGAAATAGGATTACCGGAAGGCTAATGGTATCAGTAAACCATTAAATGAGAAGTTGAAAGACCTGATGCTGGGACATGGGCGTGCTTTATAGTGTCTTGATACCTTCATTACAGCAGGGCCCTCTATCATTTCCACCTTGCCAGCGAAGACAAAAAGCAATTATTATAGGCAAGGTATCTGTAAATTCTGTCAGTGTAACTATTCCAGATGTTTTCATAAAAGCCATCTCAAGGCCAGGTTGGACAGAGTCTTGGGTGACATGGTTTAGTGTGTGGTGTCCCTGTCCATGGCAGGGGGGTTGGAAGTAAATGTTCTTAAGGTCCTTTCTAACCCTAACTATTCTATGATTCTATTTGTCAAGGACTAAAGTCATTTTAGAAAAGCAAAGAAAACAGATGATTCAGTCAACATTTTTCAGAACTCTGAAGGAATGAACTGGTTGGACAAAAGTACCACCTAACTTGAAAGAAATGATGCAGATTTAGTTTTGATGACTACTAATAATCCATATGCAATTTAAAGTATTTCTTGATGACCTAATACTCATCATATTGCATAGAATCAAAAGAGTAAAAGGTTGAATCATCTCCTTTCAGTAACTTACTTGTTTTCAACTACTGTCAAATGAGATCCCCCCACAATATAACTATCTTACTACTTCTTTACCGAAACTGAGAGTATTACTTGTCCTACCAGCAGTGCACATGAAAAAAAATCATTATGGAAACATCACTTTGTAAAAATACTGATGATTCCTGCTCTTCCCCACTACCCCGCTTCCATCCTTTTTTCCCTTTCTCTTCTCTTTCTGCAAGAGGAATTAGCCTAAACCTCAACCTTCTCTCACAGGGCATGTTCTCTAAAAATCCCTTGTTGTTGCTTTCTAGGTTTTTTCCAATTTACCTAGGTTGTTTGTAAGTATGAAACTCCAGGGGCAATCTTTGTTCCAGCTCATGCTTTAATGGTAACCAATAATTATTTTCTTCTGCTTTTAATGGAGAATGAGAAGTTTTCTAGTTTCCAAAAAGACATCTGCCTTTTTACTTTGAAACACACTGCTGACTTAATAGATTTGGGTCCACTACAAATTCTATTCTGCTGAACAGATGCTCCATGAATGAGACCCAATTTTGTTTGCCTAGTTCCTAACTACAGTGCTATGCACTTGAATGAGATTCCATCAAGTCATATTATGAGGAAGCTATTCCATCATTTTGAATCCTAATGCTCTCCTTCATACTGTTTTCAAGTCACTTTGCCTAGGTACAATATACACTAAGTTTTGTTTCATTTCTGTAATTACAATACTAAACAGCTTCGGGTGAGAGCTGCCTCCCTCATTTAACACATCTTCTGTTGACAATAACTGTGAATTACTCTTATGCCATCTTACATCTCTGTTGGCTGGTACTATTAACAAATATTGAGAGGAAATGGCATTAAACTGTTACTTGTAAGACTTAGTTTTGGTTTCTAATTTATAATTACTTTGAGAAAATTGAAACCAGGCTCTAACACACACATGCAGAGAAGTTACACGCAAAACTCTTCATGATTGTTTCATCTCTTGGGCAGTGCAAACTTCATGAACCTTACACCACTAATCACTGAATTTGACAAAGCATCAAAGCAGAACTGTTCACAGACTTCAGTTAATTTTTAAAGCAGCCTTAATTGCATAACCATGAATCCTATCCTCCCTTTAAATTATTAACCAAAGGACTTGCCCAAAACTAAAAAGTGCAGTACATGCAAACTTAAGTGACTTATTCAAGAGGAAGAAAAAGCATAAAATCTTCAGGATCCTTTCAGCTTTTGACCCATGAAGCGAAACCTTTATTGAGGATTTCCAGTGTATCATAGACAAAACTTCAAACACTATTCCTTAAACTGGAGTACTGGACTTTTTCTAGGAAGCACTGAAGAACATAATTTTGGTGAATTTTAAGTAGCCAGCCGTCCAGCTCCTATGCCCCGGGTATTTTTTTATCTATCATACCAGCCCAAGGTAATAAAAAGCAAAAAAACCTGAATTATTTGGAGACTTGAGTGTATCAACACTGGCAAGCTTTGACTCTCTGTAGAGAATCTTACCAGCTCAGAATGTCTCGTACAGCTATTTAACTACCCCACACTGAGTTCTGAGGTCACAACATTCATTCAGGGTAAGAATTTCTCTAGTTCAGGGAAAAAACAAAACAAGAAGATGACACCACAGAAAATCCCATAACCCTGAAATGTTTCGTTTTGTGTTTTTCTCTTAACAGCAGCCCCTAGCCACTATCTTTCAGTGGCATCTTAACAGTAGCTTTGACAATGGTGACAATGCCTTTAAAATAAGGCACACACCAAGGTACAAGTTGGTTAGCCTAATGATGAAATGCAGACTGCATAGTATCACCTAACAGTAGAAAGGCCTGACCACTAATGTGAGCAAATTTATAGCAGTTAAAAAATAAACCCCAAAACAATAAACCTCACAAGAAAACCCTCAGCAGATCTTCACAGAACTTCAACGGAGTGATCATAATATGTCATAAACTTTTATTTATTCTCCACACTGCCTAGGCAAGTTTAAGCACAACAGAACCAAATACTCGTATTTCTCAATGGATGAAACCATTCAGGATCAGATTTGCTATAAGATCATGATGATTTTTAAATTATCTTATTTTTTCTGTTCCAAAAATCAGAATTCCTAATACAGACAGTAAACGTTACAATAAAAAAGTTGTCATACCAATGTAGTGAGGGAATTTCGTTTCATATAAAGTCTCTCCAAGTACTGCAGCCCCTCATCTTTCAGTAACTCCAAAGGGAAGTGATGGAGATTTCGGTAATTTAAGAACAAGTTCTTGTGCCTTTCCAGCTTTGCCTCAGAGATTGTTTTACATAGTTCTGATGCCATGACTAAGCAGCACATCTAGAGCATTGCATCTTCTGAAAGCAGACCCATTTCTAGGAGATAAAAAGAGAAAAAAAGAACAACCAACCAAAACAAAATATTATCAAGGTGTATGTCATGTGTTCTTTTGCAGCAAGAGTTAGTTATTACGTATTATCTGACAATTTCTCTAAACACACTTGTTCCAGTAAATACATAAATAAAGTATCCAGAATATCCACATCACAAGATATGTTAGAAGCAAGTCTGTGACTATTTTCTGGATGGGATGAAGTTTTAGCATGTTATCACACTGGCAATAACAAGAGCTTAAGGTATATGTCATGCTTTTTTTCCATCTATTTTCAATGAACCTTTCAGATAATTTTGTCAAAGTTGCCACCAGAATAAAGAAAAAATAAGGAAACCTCTGTCTACTAACCATTACTGATGTCCTGCACCTATTTATTCTGTGAAGCGTGCTGAAAGAAGAATCCACAGATAAGAAAAACACCATTTATTAGAGAAGGATGTATCAGGTGGCTAAAATGGCTTTAAGTAGCTTGTAAGGAAAATGACAGAAGTTTATTAAGCTTTCCTATATAAAACTACTGGAAGAATTTAATCAATTGGAAGAGATATTGGGGATGGGCAGCCAGTAAGGCCATTTCAAAACAATAAACTAATATAGGAGAAATGTGAAATTTACAGCAAGAACACTTATAGGTAGATGGGACAGCAGATTTTCAGGTCTCTACTAAAAATAAAACCGGAAAGAATTAAATGTCAAGCCTTAACTGACAACTTCAAAACCAGAAAACAAAAGTATGAAGAAAAATTAAAAATTAACTGAAAACAGACTTTATTTAGCTTGTTTTCCATGTATAACCAAAATTCTAGTCATTACTATGTTGCTGAGATTTAGATGACAACAGTGATGCTACACCTTTTCAACTGTCCCAGAAGTCAGAAAACATAATAAATCCAGACTATTAATTCAAAGTTACCAGTTTGCTATTGACTCATCTGTATAAATAAATTCCCATTAATAAAAGGCAAGGAATCCTGACTGCTTCCCACCAATAACATTTTCTATTTTAGTTCATTCCTTTACTGAAGTAGAGATTTCTAATCATAACAGACATTGGAAGTGAAGGTATCGAGTTCTGATTATACAGTAGTTATTGTAAACAGAACTCCTTAAACAGCTGAAGACTGACAACTGGGCCATACAGGTAAATAAAACTGCTTTATCAGTTTCAGTAATTCCCTTGATTCATGGATAAGCAGCTTCTACTAGTGACCTATGTCCTTTTGGAAGAATACAGCTTTCATTTTCTTAAGAGTCCCATAAGCACTACTACTACTGATCAGAAATTAGATGTAATATCCTGCACACCTTACCTAATCTTATCCCCAGTTCAAGCCATGCTAAGATCAGCTCTGCAAACAAACAATCACCCTGTTGGGAATTCCATATAAGACTAGAAAGACTCAGTCCAACTTTGGTTAAACAGTATCTGTGTGAGAAGACCATGCTGTAACAAGTTGCCTTCCTTAGCTATCTTGAGGAGACAGGGTACACACACTGCTGGCCCTTGGCGCTAGCAACATCAAAGCTCCCTTAATTCAGCAGATAGAGAAAATTAAGCCACTACAATTTCAAGCTATGCATCTGTAATCAGCATTCAAAGAATTCAAGGAAAAGCATTCGAATGTTTCATGTGCATCGTCTGAGAGTATTCATGCATTAATTGCTACAATATAAGAAATGGTAACGGAAGGCTCATCTTTCTCTGAAGTATTTTGTTTAAGGAAAGCTGTGAAGTCACTGAACACAACCATAAATATCCAACAGCCTTCCAATTTGTCCAGAGATGCTTTTTAGGCGTTTTGCATTTGCAGACTTCTCTTCAGAGTTCTGACTCCATATACCAACCGGGCCACACTCAGCCATGGCACACATGAATACTCAGACACACAAGCCCACAAATGCAAAATCCATTCCTTACATACACTATGTTGGCTCTTACTTCAAAGGAAAACCCTCCTACTCCCGCCACCAACCAAACTTTTTCTCTCTATATAATCTTTTCCCAGAGATGAGACACAGCATTAGCAAAAAGGACGAGACATAATCGCGATCGGTAAAGGTGAAAAGGGAAGATGAGGACAGGTAATACCCGATGACGATGGCCCTGTGAGGGGTCAGGTCACTCAGGGAAGAAAACCGCCGCTTCACAGAGGATGGCGAAGGCAGAAATGAGCCCGCACTGTGCACACGACAGGGTGAGATGGGGTGACACCGGGAGGCTACGGAGACCCCCCCAAGTCCTGCGGGCCGTCCCCAGCCAAGGAGAGCTGCTGGGGGAAAAAGGAGCAAACCGGCGGATGAGAGCCGGGAGGGGCTATGAGGTGGGGCTGGGGGC